TCGGTTCTTCGGGACCTAATACGTCATAGCTGTTGTTCTCCGCGTCTTCGTAAAGTTCAAGACCCGGCGGGGTGATCACTCTGGACCCCCACGCTGGGTGTTTGGCGTTTAGGTCCACGGCGATGATGGTGGGTATTTCGCCTTCCATCACCGTCCGGATATCTGAGGAGCAGAATGGAGTCCCTGGCGGGCGGTATGCTGCGTAGATTCTTAGTTCCTCGCCCGCCGCCTCCATTCTTATGCCGATAGAGCACATTGTCTGGTATGATGGTAAGTCCAGCTCTTGATGGACGATGTCCCTCCTCACTAGAACCGCCGTCCCCCCTGTAGGCGGCCCCTTGAACAGTGACCTCGTCCCTTCTGTACAGATGGTAGTTTGGCAGCTTTATATGCGTCTTTGGATTTAATTTTGTCTCTCCCAGCAATATGACATGTAAGTCCTGTTGTTGGGCGTGCAGCTTCTGCTGTATCCCGTCCGGGTTCCAATAGAAGAAGCGCAGATTACTCTCCTCCGTAATGCCGGGCCAGGAGGTTTGCCAGCGCCTTCATTATCGCGGTTACTGGGTCGGTCCCGGCTCTTATATCGGCCAGGACTTGTGTGCCGACCTCGATGACAATGCCAACCAGTCGTTGGATTGCATCTACTATTTCGAGGCCAGCAGTAGGTGGTCTCCTATATGAAGGCGTTGGCACTGGTCTCGGATGTTGATTGTCCTGCACTCTTGGCTTATGGGTAGAGCGCGCTCTATGTGTAGAGCGGGCTCTATTTTCAGATAGAGCCCTTTCTGGCGCTCTACCCACGCTCTTTTGGGTTGTCTCCCGAGTAATCTGCGCCTGTGAGGCTACTGGTCCTGTTGGTATCAGGGTAGAGGTAACAGCCTGAGGAGGCTGCGACTTCTTCCTGCTCCTCTCCCGCCTCCTCCTTTTAGAGGGTTGCCGTTCCGTGGCGGGGGGCTGTAGAGTCGCCCCGGTGGTTGCCCTTATCTCTGCGGGTTCCACTGTTTTCATAGGTGTTAGGGGTGGGGTGGGGGGGGCTGGTTGGTTGCTGTTTCTTTGGGGGATCAGCGAGAAGGATGACACTATTCTCGTGCGCTCCGGATTCGCCAGATCCCTCACAACCAGTGGTCGATACAACACACCTTTTCGGTCCGGTGGTTTTCTTATCGGGGGGGGGGGGAGGTTCCCCCTTATCCCTACCTGACATGTCCTAACCTACCCTAACAGTCAGTGGTAATCAAGGGCCCTAGTTTAGTTTAGTTTAGTTTGCGACGGGCTGTTTTCCGCAACTCCACGTCTATGCGCGTATTTTGCGTGTGGGCAGGAATAATGTGATTATTCGAGCCATGAGATCTCCCCGAAGAAGCTCAACAGTCCTTGATGTTGCATGCAACTTCGGGGAGTGATCCCGGCGTGCCGAGATGTTTAGCCCTGTACGTAGCGACCTCCGGACATTTCAGTAGCACGTGGGCCGCCGTTTCTTCCTCCCCCCATACATGCCCTGCACAGGGGACTATCTGTAACACCTATAGTAAATAAATGTTTGTTAAAGGTGCCGTGTCCTATGATAGCACTTGTTACTATCCTGATCTGCGGCTTGTTCAGTCTCATTAGAACTTTGGTTAAGCGACTGTTTATTACAGCTAGGGCCTCCCTAGCTTGTCTACAGTCTACTAGATTTTTCCAAAGCTGAGCGTGTTGATTAGCGAAGTGTCTACGTACCATTGAACGAACGTTACCAAAGGGGATTGGTATGATTGGTTCCGGCCCTATAGTGGCCAGAGCCGATCCTCTTCTGGCCAGTTCGTCCGCTGCATCGTTGCCTCTGAATCCACTGTGTCATCAAGGGCCCTATCTATATACCAGCCGGTCGATGATGCGCGACGCAGATGGTGGTAATAATAAGAAGTGGCTATCCACACTTGGGGCACTGTCTACCCCTTTTGCAACAAAAGGGTTGGGGGAAGTGCGGTGGTGGCACTTTAAAACGCGACTAGGTACAAAATGCACGGAACGCTTAAAGTGCCAAAAATCTACCTAGGGGCCGGTGACCTCGACGCCTCACGGAATCCGGGGACTCAACGAGCGGCGGAGTATGTCGTATCGGCGGTTGTATGCAGCCACTGCTAACTACAAACAATATACACCTAGGAGATCCTTGCTAACTTCACTTAAGTCATATGCGGTAACAACGGCGGGCGAAACTTTGATGAGTGCCGACAAGTCAATCGGTCTGCCTCGAACGCTCACAGGGAGTACGCGTACTTTTTTGTGCCGTCAACTGAGTTATCAGATTTTCTCGTAAAATGTAAGTAGTAACCTAGTGAGTGTTTGTTGGTAACAACCTATTAACACAAAAACTACTGATGTGTTTGGATTAAATTCCACACACAGTATATCGTGACCTAGATAAGGGTATGAGATACATTTATTTCCGTAAAAAGTCGAAAGCGGAAGCTAGTTTTTTCTAATTTACATGTCTTATTTTTTATATTGCATTGAATAATTTCTTATAAACTGAAACATAAAAACTGTATTTCTTCCTTCCTTAGATATGCTAGTAAGAAATTTTTTTTGTTACTTACTTAGCTGTCAGCCGCCGTAAAGTCTACATTACCTGAAGATGCCTCGTGAAGAGGCGAAACACGTGTCGTATTATCGTCGATGGTGTGTCTTACCTGGAATAGTGGTGTTGGGAGTAGTGGTGCTGGGACTAGTGATGACGGAGTTAGTGCATGCAACTGAGGGAGGGCGGGAGGGGCTCTTCAATCCAGGTAAGACACATCATTGTATTTATTTAGCGGAAGGTTGCGAAGAAATTTATATTTATATTTTTTTAAATAATAAAAGCAATCAAGAATGGAAAAGAGGAAAAAATTACAGAAGTTGCACATCTAAGGCAAAAATTTGAGAAGGATATTAGTTCTTTCAAAAAGCATATATGTATTATAAAATTTTAGAATCCAGTTTCAAAACTTTCGCGAGTGTTTGAGTAAATTGAAAACCCAATGAGTGCGCTATTGTAGTCGACTTTAGTGAAAATTATAATTGTACTCGTAAATGTCACGAAGAGGTACAATCTCATCATTTCGGAGGGTCCAGAAACCAAATAACACTACATACCTACTGTAATGGTTTACATTTAAAACCACGAAAAACAACATGCACTAATTCCTTCTGCTCCGTTTCTGCCTCAAGTTGTCATCAGCCTGCAGCTGTCTGGAGCCACTTACAGCCGATTTTAGAATGGGAAATTCACATGAAGCTGTTGAAACTATTTATTTCTTCTCAGACGAACATCGACTCAATATCAACAAGTATTTACAGATAAAAGAAATATATTAAAATATAGAGAGCTTTCCTGCTTTTGTAAATTTACAAAGAGAGGTTTTTGCATCTGTCTGAACACCAAAACGTACCAAGTGAATAGTAATGCTGCTAAGCAGTTAAGACCTAGTCTAGTCTAGTCAGGTCTAGACCCTACTAACCAAATCCACCTTCAAATCCTCGTTCAAATCCTCGAACCAAAAAGAAACGATATTCAAGATCCATCGGATGAAGACGTCCCTCTTGCCGTGTTCAAGCAAATCCAAAATATACTATCCCAACGAAGTATTTACCGAGCTATCCATGGATCTTCATCTGATAGTGACGACGAGTCACAAATTGATAAAGAAAATCGTAAATCGATGGATGTAGATGATAAATTTCGTTTTCAAAATTTTCATGTAGAGGAGGACCAAGTGGCTTTCACTAGTTACGACAAAATTTCTCAACAGGTAACAATTGGTGATTTTTTCCATGTTTATGTTTATGGCAGTAACAAAAAAAAGAACATTTATTCTTACGTTTGCAAGGCTCTGTCCTCTATAGAAGAAGACGGTGAAATTAAAGTTATGTTTTTACGGGTAATTAATAATGATGCAAAGAGTAGACAAAAACGATATCAGCTACGTAAATTATGAAGATGTTATTAGCATCTTGCCGGTACAAAGTCTCCTGAAAAAAGATATGTATAAATTTACTGATTCCATTGATATATTTGAAAAATAACTACTGTCGCAATTTGATCTCAAGATTATAAATATGACGACGTTGATTATTAATAGTAGAATATTTGTCCTAAATGTGATATTATTTGGTTCCTTATTTGTAAATTAAGTTTTAAATTTATTGTATTAGTGTGATTGTTACTGACTTCAAAGCAGGTAATTTTTTTAAATATTAAAAAAAATATGTTCGCTGATTTTATGTCTTAGGTATTACCAAGTTTGTCTCTGAAGTTACTTTTTGTCCCTAATTTAAAATTTTCGTTTTTAAACGTTGTGATCTTGCCTAAATCAGAAACTATATTTTTATATCACAATATACTGTAGATAAAAGGGCATCTGTAGGATAGGTTTTTTGCGTTAGCTAGTTACTTATTTAGTTTTAATGAAAAGTTTCGTGTTTATTTTTTATGTTGGTAACGCAAGATACAATTTATTGTTTACTTTTAATATAAAAACTCAACAATTGTTTCATTCCGTCTTAAGCGTCGGCGCGTGTCGGTCGTTTAACTAATTGCATTGTGCCGTGCGTATGTGTGAGTCTCGTGTAAAGCATCGGAGTTTAACGTTAATGCTATATCGACATCACTCGAACGCATCGTGGAGATTTTGCACAGATTAATTTCAAACAGAGCGATCAAGTTATAAACATGACAACTGTAAACAGTACATTTATGCAAGAGTGTGAAACTGAAAGACCCGGAGAAATTAGTGTTAACGAGTCATTTATTGAAAATGAATCACCTCCTCCTTATATAACATTTCGGAAATGTAGTAGCGTGATTCCTGCAATTTCCGATCTACAACAAGAATTTAAAACTTTTCAAAGCAGTTTACTTAACGGGCTTGATTCCTGGTTCCCAAAATAAGAAACAAAATTTAATACCCTTCTTAATGACTTCGACGAAATTAAAACCACGCTGAAATTTATCAATGATAAATACAATGATTTAGACAAAAGAAAGAGAACTCATGATGTCAGCAAGCGCGTATCTAGAATAGAACAGCAGCTGAAAGCCACACCGGTCATCGAAGCACGTATCTCTGAATTAGAAACTAAACTGGCTGAATTTGAACAAAAATCTCGAAATTGTAACATTGAGATAAGTAATCTGCCTGAAAAACGAAGCGAGAACTTAAATACAATTACTGGATAATATTGCAAAAGTCATAAAGCAACCAATTTCTACTAAATACATAGTTACAATTCATCGTGTACCTCATATGACCCCTAAGATTTCACGCCCGAAGAACGTAATTGTAAAATTTTTCAATCAAGCAACGCGTGACAACTTTGTTTCTGCAGCAAGACTATCAAAAGGAATCACAACAGAGCAAATAAATATGCATGGAGCCGTTCAAAATATATATATCAATGAGCACTTAACTATTCAAAGTAAGAATTTGTTTCGTCAAACTCGTGAAGCTGCAAAACAGAACGGATATAGATTTGTGTGGATCAAGCGCGGAACTGTACTGGTTCGTTCGACAAGCGAAGCATCTGCTATTTTTGCTATACGAAGAGAACAATACGTATTATCGAAAATTAAACCAAAGGATACTAAATGATGGATTTACTTGTGAAATAGTTATTAGTAATAGGTTTGTGCATGCGAAGCATCTGCTATTTATGCTATACAAAGATAACAACATCAATTATCGAAAAGTAAACATAATGATACCACATAACAAATTTGAAAATAATATGAATAAGGTACGTCTTCTTATAAGATTTATTTGCAAGCTCTTAGTGTTGCATTACTCTATGTGTTGTTTACGACTGGGACAATTCTTTTATCACATATATTTTTCTGCAGCCACCGTCACAATGACTATTTTGTGTTTATATTTTAATACAATTCACGATTTACGTTTTCTAACAAATAACATAATACAATTATTACCAACTATATTACCTTTAAACAATCTTGTACACGAACAAATTTTTGCGATATTTAGTTCCATATGTTTTTTATTTCGAATTTTACACTTTTTCATATTTTATTTTTTAAAATTATTACTAGTAATTCTTAAAACGTATACTATTTATAAAGATGGCTTATAAAATAGAGGTATACTATCAGAATTGTAGAGGTTTGAGGACAAAGTTGAGTACTTTATTCAATAATATATTGTTGGAACATTATGATATAATAATTCTCTCTCAAACATGGTTGACCTCGAATATTGCAGATAGTGAATTCATTGATTCGCGTTATGTAGTGTACCGATGCGATCGAAATCGAGAGTTATGTGGTAAAACAGACGGTGGAGGTGTATTGATTGCGGTGCGCATAGGGCTAAATGGCACTCGATGTATTTTAAAGCCCACTTTTCACTGTGAAGACGAAATTATAAATGTCCCATCTAATATTGACTATGTGATACTTAGGTTTTATTCTAAGCAACACAACGAATATCACGCTGTTGGCGGTGTTTATGTAACACCAAATCAACCCTTAACTGCTTACCAATTATTTTTCAACTCTCTCCAAAATGAGCTTATGTGTAACGAAAATACAAAAATGTATATTTTCGGGGACTTTAATCTACCTGACATTGAGTGGTTGCAGTATGACGGGAGTACATGTACTCCAAATACACATTACTGCAAAAATCCAATGACTTTGCTCGTTTCAAATTTTTTATCAATTGTAGGTTGCAAACAATTTAATTTAATTAAAAATAATAAGAATCGCATCTTAGATCTTTTCATTTCAAATAATGATACAAGTACTTGTAAGTCACCACTAAACTCTTTAGTTCCGATAGACGTCTTTCATCCACCAATTAACGCCGAGATACTTTTCAACGTAGAATACATACAATTGGCGCGTAAAACTTTACCAAAATATCGATTCTCCGAGGGTAAATATGCAGATGTTAATGACGATATTAAACGTGTAGACTGGGCAAGTAATTTAGAGGTGCCATCCTTAGACACTGCCACCAACCACTTTTATGAAGAGATATATAAAATCATTAGGAAACACGTACCTTTACGCCCAATCAAATTTAAAAAGTTTCCAATATGGTTTACACGCCCACTAATACACATATTTAAAAATAAAGAAAAATCATGGATAAAGTGGAAAAAAATTTCTAACCAAGTAGATTATGAGGAATACTCTGTACTTCGAAAAAGATTTAAACAACTTTCCGCGCAGTGCTTCAATTCATATTTAAGTAAAATTTAAATAAGTTTGCAGAAAGACATCAAAGTATTTTGGACTTTTGTAAACAATAAAAAAAATGTGGTATTCCCAACGTAATGTCTCACGATGGAAATGAAACCGATAATCCTGAGGACATATGTGAATTTTTTTCTAACTATTTTACTTCAGTTTATGAGAACAGCTCACTGATGACGTACGACATAGATTCACTTCCTTGCTCATCAAACACTAACTTTATTATCTCAGATATATCATTTTCAAAAAACACAATAGAACAATATCTAAAAAACTTAGATAAAACTAAAAGTTCAGGACCAGACGGTATCTCACCTTTTTTCCTCAAACATATTGCTAGCTCAATAAGCGTACCTCTGTTCTATTTATAACCGCAGTTTGCGTGAAGGTTTAGTGCCCACAGTCTGGAAATCTGCGAATATAACCCCAGTGTTTGAAAACGGTTCTAAAACTGACGTGACTAATTATATACCTATTTCCTTACTTTCTGCCTTATCAAAAGTCCTTGAACACTTAGTACATAATTCAATTTATCCGAGTTTACACAACTTACTAATTCCAGAACAACATGGTTTCGTAAAACAGCGATCGACCATCAGTAATCTTATTTTATATACAAACTTTCTGTTTGATAATATGGACAATCGAATAGAAACTGATACTGTTTACACAGACTTTTGTAAAGCTTTCGATAAAGTGGATCATTCCATCCTTCTTTAAAAACTTGCGTTTAAAGGTATACGTGGAAACTTATTGCGGTGTTTCTCTTCGTACATTATTAATAGGACCCAAAAAGTTGTGGTTAATAGATTCTCCTCTAGCGAAAAATTAGTATCCTCAGGTGTACCACAGGGATCTATACTAGGTCCGATGCTCTTCACATTGTATATAAATGATATTCAGTCTTGTTTTATAAATAGTAATTTTTTGTTGTATGCAGATGACCTGATAGTTTATCAAAGTATAAAGTCCTTTAATGATTGTGAGAAGCTACAAGAAGATCTTGACCGGTTATCTAACTACTGTCTAATCAATAAATTGCAATTAAGTATCCCTAAATGTAAATCTATTTCTTTCACCAAAAACGTAAAAACCTACAATTACATATATTCCCTTCTTAACAGTCCCTTAGAAAAAGTATCATTAATAAAAGATTTAGGCATCCTTTACGATTCAAATCTAACCTTAATGCTCATATCAGCCATGTAACAAATAAAGCGTATCAAATGTACGGAATTGTTGCACCAACGTGTAATTTTTTTAAAAGCTCCTCATCTTGTTTACTACTTTTCAAATCACTTATCAGACCACAAACTGAATATGCAACGCAAGTATGGAACCCCTATTATAATAAATACGGTGAACTTCTAGAATCATTACAAGCAAAGTTTCTTCGTTTTATAAATTATAAATTTTACCACGCTAAATCATCGTATCGCAACTTATTAAAAAAGTTTTCAATTCATACTTTAAAAGCAAGAAGAATATACTTTGATGTAATAAATACTATTATTCAAAATAATTAGAAATGATTTAGATTGTAGTGAACTACTTAACAAAATATATCCGTGTCCCTAGTCGTTCTCAACGCATTAGAGACGTGTATACACATAAATTGTTTGCGCCTAAACTATGTAAAACCAATGCAGGTGAACGCGCCCCATTAAGACGTATTATTAAAGTATATAACATGCATTTTTCAAATATTGATCTATTCACTTCATCACAGTTACAATTTCGCAAGAACGTTCTAAGAAAGTTAGTTAATATTCAATAGTATCTTAAAATATTTTACAAGATAAATTTGTACTGTTAGCATTTTTTTTCCTTTTGTCTCATTTTCATTTTTATGTTACTGGGTACTGTCAATTTTATTTTATTTTCCCATTTTCACTTATACTCTGTCTATTGTGCATTTATTATTTACTGTTACCAATTTAATGTTACTTTGTGGATAACGGTGCTGGTTACATAATGACTAATATTATTTATAAAATGTTATTTGGTTTAAGCATTATTATGTAATTCTTTGTTGTCCTGAATAAATAAAAAAAAATAAAAAAAAATTGTTAATACTGACTTTATTACAGCAATTAGTTTTGCGTGAAAAACTAAATAAAAACTACGTATCATTTATGTATTTGTTTTATTCAGACTATATTGATCATTATAAAAGGTTACGCAGTAGAGAATTTTTAGGGTGTGCTTATATATTTTCGCAAATTGCGGCCAAAATAATAAATTAACTTCGTGCCCCTTTGAAATATACAAAATAGTTGATATTTCGAAGACACTTTTCGTGTCGGATCATATTAAATATTTATTTTTTTTTAAAAAATATTTTGCCTGAGCTCTCTAAAATGTGAGTCGAATAGTTGATTGACCCAGATACAGGCTGGAATTGCCCGTAATCTCGCAATCGCTGTGTAGCGCCTAGCATCGTAGCGTAGCTCGGTGCACGTGAGTTGGGAAATCGCCTTGAATATTCACGGCAGGCTTCACTAACATTATCATTGCAAATTGCTAAAATTCGCACCATTTCGGTATACTCAACATTTGAGTATCGGTAAGCCATCGTAACTAGGTAACGTCCACAATAATCTCACAACGAAAGTCGCATCGCGGGCGCATCAAAGGCGACTGACGACACAGGTTACTAATTAGGTCAAGTTTAAATGAGTATCGTCCCCTCCTACACCCCTCCACCCCTCCCACGCCACGCGCTTTTTATTGCTAACTAGGACTATTTCCGTTTAGAAGCTCCAATTAAAATATTTTTATTTTTGTATGAAAATACAACTTGAAGAAATATATTTTTTTTCCTACAGATGTTGTTGTTATGGTGTAAATAATATATTCCCCAAAGGTCTTCAGTAAATTAAAAATGACCCTGTATAGATGTAAGAAATGGTATCCATTTTAGAAAAAATGGTCTTTTCAATATTTATTAAAAGCGGCAACTATTA